CCAAAAATTAAGTTTTTAATAATTTAAAATTTTGTCATTTCAGGATGTTGCCTTTTTATTTCTGCTTAATTTAAAAAGCATTACCTTAAGTCTTTTAGGAAATCAGTGACACAAACTTTAAAATGTTGGAACAAGTGATTTACCTTTCAGTGATTAAAAAGCTTGCTGACATTGTGCATTCCTTAATGGAATTTTTTTTAAAAGATTTATTTATTTATTGGAAAGTCAGATATACAGAGAGGAGGAGAGACAGAGAGGAAGATCTTCTTTCTGATGATTCACACCCCAAGTGAGTGCAACGGCCGATGCTATGCCTATCTGAAGCCAGGATCCAGGAACTTGTTCCGGGTATCCCACACGGGTGCAGGGTCCCAAAGCTTTGGGCTGTCCTCGACTGCTTTCCCAGGCCACAGGCAGGGAGCTGGATGGGAAGTGGAGCTGCTGGGATTAGAACCGGCGCCCATATGGGATCCCGGCACGTTCAAGGCGAGGACTTCAGCAGCTAGGCCATACCGCCTGGCCCAGTGGAAATTTCTTAGATGTTTCTTATCACTCAAGTTCATAAATATTTAAAGTTAATTTGAAATCATGCAGATTCTTATATTTCAAAATACTCATTTTATATTGGAGATTTTCATTTCCTCTTTGATGGGTTAAATGTAGTTGTTGAAAGCAAATATTGATTAATTTTTGACACTGATTTTTTTATGCAGATGTGGAATTAGAAGAAGCTATTAGAAGAAGTCTTGAGGAAATGTAATGACAGAAGTTACTGCTCAACATCAAGTGGCCTTGAGGAGACTCAGGATAATGAATTCTTATTTTCTAAAAGAGACCAGAAACCTAGTATAAGTGTATTTAAAACAATGTTTTTTGGCTTCATATGTTCAAAACTTTATATTTGTTTTATATTTTTGTGCTATTTGTGTGAAGATGTGTCGTAGGAAGAGAATACATGTAAATGCAAATGTAAATCATGCTTTTCAATATCACAGTTTCCAATTTAGTTTTCTAGTCATATTTAGGTTAAAGAAATTTAAGGAAACAAAAAAGGACCATTTCTGACTATTGCTTTTGTTTCCCAAATAGCATTGACTTTTTAATTTTATTTGTACTGTACAGACGATTCTAGTTTATTTTTAGGAGTGTTAATGAATATAAATAAAGATACCTGTAGTTCACATTTTTCTGTAAGTTCTTAAGGAAATAAAATATATAATAACTTTGAAATCTTTAGTATAAGAAAGTGAGGGAACTTGTTTATGGAGAGAGATTAAAATTTTTGCCAGTAATAATCTTTGTGTCATGCCAGGTGTATATTCTTGCTGTAATTCAGGCAACACATTACTAAAATAAAACACACCAAATTTGTTCAAAGTAATTAAAAATAAAATCTTTACCAATCCCTTTATCTGTTTAGACTTATATGTGACTTTTACAATCTTTTTAAAGTGATGCCAAAATGCTTGCATAAAATTAAACTTTTAATAACAGTCCTTTTATGTATATTTTAAGTATACGTTTTTGAAAAATAGTTCTGGAATGGACGTTTGGTTTAGCAGTGAAGATGCTTCTGGAGTGCCTGGGTTCAAGTCCTAGATCCTTGTGTAATTCCATTGTCTTAGTCATGCATACCCTGGGAAACAGTGGCAGTGGCTCTATGACTTGGTTACCTCCTTCTGACATGGGAGTCTCAGATTCTGTTGTGGCTTTCTGGCTTCACTTTAGCCCAGCCCCTACTATTGCAGGCAATTATGTTGTGAGTCAGTCCGTGTATAGAATATCTCTGATGTATCTGTTTCTCTGCTTTTCAAATAATTTTTAAAGGATTTTCATTTATTTTTGTTGGAAAACCACATTTACAGGGAGAAGGAGAAAATGACAGTGAAAGATCTTCCATCTGCTCGTTTATTCCCCAAATGACTACAACTGCTATAACTGAGCCAATTGGAAGCCAGCAGCCAATAGCTACTGCCAGGTTTCCCCTGTGGATTCAGAGATCCAAGGTTTTGGGCCTTCCTCCACCGTTCTCCCAGGCCCTAAGTAAGCAGCTGGATGGAAAGTGGAGCATCCAGGACACAAACTCACACCCATATGTGATGCTGGTGCTTGCAGGTGGAAGATTAGCTACTGTGCTTGCCCCCAATAAATAATAAGTTTTAAAATAACATTAAAAGTCTATTCAGGAATAAACTTCTTTAACTCTTTACAATTTTTATTTTACATAAACTATCTTCAATTTAGTTAACCATTGAAGTATCGGTTCTGACATTATATATCTAGCAGTTGAGACTCCATTGCAAACAATAAAAAAATCATGTAGGTGGTAAACTGTCATGCTGTCTATTAAAGTTAAAAATATTTTTATAATATTTCATGAAGACAAAGATAAGGGTAGAATTTTGTTCTGTCTCAGCAGTATTAGTGTGAAAGGATGTTACTTCTGTTTTTAAAGTAGACATTGTAGTTTGGGAATTTACCAATCATCTTTCCAAAAAGACTACAATATGTTTTTTTTTTTTTTTAAAGATTTTTATTTTTATTATTTTTTCATTGGAAAGGCAGATATACAGAGAGGAGAGACAGAGAGGAAGATCTTCCGTCCGATGATTCACTCCCCAAGTGAGCGCAACGGGCCGATACTATGCCGATCCGAAGCCAGGAGCCTCTTCCGGGTCTCCCACGCGGGTGCAGGTTCCCAAAGCTTTGGGCCATCCTCGACTGCTTTCCCAGGCCACAGGCAGGGAGCTGGAAGGGAAGCGGGGATGCCGGGATTAGAACCGGCGCCCATATGGGATCCCGGGCGTGCAAGGCGAGGACCTTTAACCACTTGCGCCACCGCACCGGGCCCTACAATATGTTTTTAATTTCAATGTTTAGACGGTCAACAAAAGCTTTAGAAAGTAGTCACTGTGCTGGGTCTTCACGTATCTGCAGGAGTTGCTGACTAATGAGAAATGGAACGGGCATACCAGAAAGAAGAGTGGTTATGCAGATGGGACAAGAGGAAACAGCACTTCCTTGCCCAAGATTACACACACGTGTGGTTTACATGCTGCAAGTTAGGATTTCATGGGGGACATGGTTGAATAACAAGCTTTTTTATATGAGGGATGTTTCATTATGACCCTTAGGATAATTGGGTTACTTCACATGTTTTCATCAAAAAATATTTACTGCATTTCTACTTTTTAAAAACACAATTATTTGGAAGGTTGAGTTACAGAGAAATAGGGAGAGGCAGACATCCAGTGGTTCACTCCTCAAATGGCCACAACAGCAGGGGCTCTGCTAGGCTAAACCCACAAGTCAGGAGCCTCTGGGTCTCCCATGTGAGTCCAGGGGCCCCAGTACCTGGTCTTCCTCCTGCTGCCTTCCAAGGGTAACAGCAGGGAGCTGGGTTGGAAGGGGAGCCGCTAAGACTCAAAGCAGCGCTCCTATGGGGAGCCAGTGCTGCAGGCAGAGGCCCAGCCACAGTGCCAGTCCCATATTTTAAAAATATAAAAATTACTTAATTTCAACAATATAATAGCAAGGAAATAAAATTGGTGGATGACATTAAAGAATTACAGGTTATCCTAACCAAGTATTTCTAACAGAAACATGCTTTCCATTACATCACTCAAATTGTTGAGTACCTGCCCTGTGTCAGCAAGTGTTTTAAGAGCTTGGCATACAGCAGTGGCAAAAGTTCTAGCAAGGAAAAGCAAGGAGGCTGGTGAGTCTGATGCAGGATGAGGCTTTTCTGAAGACTGGCTTTTATCTGAGGATCCATTGACGGTTTCTGAGAATGAAAACTGTCACAAACTTTAATCAGGGTTATTGCAGTTGACAATGCATGAGAGGTGAGAGTAAAAGGGAGACCAAACAGAATGCTGGAGTAACCTAGGTGCAAACTGACCAAGTGGCTTGCACTTGGTGTCAGTGGAATTGAAGGAAGAGTCTGCATATACTCTAAAGGTAGTATTGAAGTGACTTACTAATTACTGGATCTAGAATATGAGAGGAAAAATTCCAAGGTGATTCCAAAGTCACATTATAGATTTCAAACATTCAGAAAACGTTGAGATACCAGTGTGTCACAAATGACAAAATACATTTACTGACGTTGGTTCAGTAATGCCCTGCACCAGGAGCTCGTTAGTATTTTGAACACAGATGGTGTGTGGATCTACGCCGAAGGGCCTCCTCTCTGCCTAGTGTGTAAATGATTCAAGGCTATGATTCAGCTTACAGCTGTTTTCCTGTTTGCAACCTGAGCTATCAGAAGAGTGGAGAAAGCAGTTTTTTTAAAAAATAGGGCAGTACCACTCCATCTTTTAATAATCTTTACTCCATCTTAAAAAAAAAAAAAACAGGATTTATACAAGTTGGTTGTGAAATGATCTTAATACCAACTATTTGAAAGTCCAATTGCAAAATTTTTTGTAGGAAGATAAAGTAAAACTCCCTTTCTTAGAATACATGGGAACTAATTCACCTTGCTTTCCTTATTTAGCCAAGCAGTGTTGTTGGTGTTATCTGGGCTGTCATTAGGAACAGTGCCTAACAAGGCAGGTCAGGCAAGTGTACTTCCAAGCATTCTGTTTTATAGAGGGGCCCTTTCCCCCCTGTGTCAGAAACGTGAATATTTTTGTTCTTGTTTTGAATTGTGGGTGCTGGCGGGAAGCCTTCAGTAAACCTACACCCACAGCAGATCCCCTCTTTGTGGTTCCTCTGTTTGTGAGGAGTCCAGGACTGCTCGGGCTGCAGTGTTCGCTGGTCCGAGCTCCGACCTCCGACCTCGGGTTGTTGCAGGAGCAGAGGGAGCAGCCCACCACGTCAGGTGTCCGCCTTTCTGGATCCTTCCCTCCTGGAGTCTCGGAGGCCCTTACTTCCTCAGGTCCCGAGCGCTCCCGGCCCATCCGGCCTCTAGCCAGCTGCCCCCTCCCCCGGGGGCGGCAGCCCCCCAGGCCCCGCGGGCGCCGCGCCTGCCCTTCTTTGGCCACGCTGCGGCGGCGGGGTCGGCGCGTCCTCGCGGGCGTCAGAGGAAGGCGGGCGCCCCGCGCGGTGACGGCGACGCCTGCGGCCCGGGAACGCTCCACTCGCCGCCGCGGGAGAGCCCGGTGACCTCTCGGCCGCCCCGCCTCGGAGGCTCGGATGGCTCAGGCTAAGATCAGCGCCAAAGCCAACGAGGGGCGCTTCTGCCGCTCCTCCTCCATGGCCGACCGCTCCAGCCGCCTGTTGGAGAGTCTCGACCAGCTGGAGCTCAGGTGAGCGGCCGGCGGGCGGTGTGCGGCGGGTCCCGTGTCCTGTTGGCCGCGTGGGCGACTCGCGGGCACAGGCGGCGCGGGGGGCTCCGGCCGGCCGGACCGGGGCGGAACCTGGGAGGGAGAAGTTGCTTTGGGGGGATTGTTGTGGATGGAGATGGTTTTTGTGTCTTGTGAGAGAAAATGTGTTCCGCTCAGGCTGACATGTGAGCACGTTGTTGTGGACAGACGAGCTCACCTGGGCCTCTAGGAGGAGAACGCCCAGAGAAGATAGAAGTTCGGTTGACGTTACTGGAGATTGCGGGCAATGTCACCCTGTTTCTACAGAACTTCCAGAACCTTCTCTGGGGTCCCAAAGCTCTTCTAATTCCCCCTCTTCCCGACCTCTCCCACCCCCACCCCCAGCACATACTGGGTTGTGCGTGTTTTAAGGGAGCAGATAGAATTCAGCGTTGCCGGCTTCCCAGTGTGAAGTTTCCTTGTTCCAAAACACTTCAGAGCCGAAATGGGGTGGGGGTGGGGGAACAAGGAATGCATCTAAGGGCGAGCACTGCGGGGAAGGGCAAAGAGCGGCTGTGGGCTGAACAGTAGCTGTGTTGCTTGCCTTGTGGATTAGACGCGATAGCTTTCCTGGCTCTCCTAAACCCACATCCTGTGTTCCAATATGTATTTTAATATGTGTTAAAGATAGTCAACAGTTTCCCCCTTTTTACCTGATTTTGATGTTAAGTAAATAATGTAACAATTGACTTGCCTAGGATTTTTAAATAATATGAAGACATTTTGGAAATACTTTTTGCTTCTAAGAGTGCCTAAAAGCTTTTAGGTACTCCCTGTAAACACGTGTGTCCGTAAGTTAGTACCTAGATTGCGGCTGTGTGCAGGTGTGGTCAAATAACAATGTTGTTAAAACACCCACAGCCCCCTGGAACTCCGTGGCATCTGGTTCCATGGTGTTTGGCAGGTTCCGAGGGTGTAAAGGCGTGTGTAAGTCAGCACTGCTGTACTGTGTGGCTTTATTTCCATGAATATACTAAAGCATGAACACGTGTCTGTCCACCCACAAGATGTGTAAGTAACCCCTTTATCTCCTAAGGGGATTCCTTATTGCTGCTGGGAGGAAATAGCCTGAAAGTGCCAGGTTCTCCAGCGCCAAGTCCAGGGGTGCAGTGGAGCCACTTGAGCCCTACGCCATGCTTTGGGGTTCACTGAGGATGAGACAAATTGCAGAAGTGATGCTTCGTTTGAGATTGCCAAAGTCGGTGAGCCTGACCAGTTCAACTCCCAGAGAAAGTGGGGTGAACCTGCTATGGCCACCGCTGCTTCAGGCCCCCTAAGGAATAGTGTTTCTTTTTTGTAGGGCCTTAGCAACTGACAGACACAGTCTACAGGTGCTGCTGGTTCCTCAGCCCTGGACAGGCGAACCGGCTTTTTTCTTTTCTGCCTTAGGGAAAAATGAGGCATATGTACCCTCAGCTTCCATTGAGCTGAGTCATTGTACTCGGGCTTGACTTAGTGCCTCACAGGTGGTGGAGACAAAAGCTGGCAAGTGCTCCTCTTTGAAAAGAAGGCCGCTGGCTTCTGCTCTTACTGTGTTTCTAATATTTAATGTCGAATTCTGATTATGGCACATGACTAAATTCCAAGTGGTTTACTTAGCGCTTGGCCTGAGGAGGAAAGGCTAATATGTAAGTGTTGTTTCTTCCTTGAAAAACTAAAGAAGTGTTTCAGAAGGCATAGAAAAATAGATCAAAATGCTGAAGCTGATCTTAACTGCAGGTTTTTGAAACCATGCGCACACAAGCTTGTGTACCATTGAAAACGTGGAATTCACGTGTATTTTTACTCTACTTCTTTGATTTTATGTTAAACATAACTAATAAAGTAGTATGTTAGCAAAGTAAACGGCACGGCTTGTGCTTGGAAGTATGCATGTACTGTTCCCTGATGTTGGTTCTGTTGTCTGTGTAAGAAGTGCCGGGAAAGCACGAGGAGGTTATACCCGATGCCTGATGACTGGGAGTGCATGGCCCACGTGATGTTTAAAATGCTTGGCAGTCGTCCACGGTCTGTTAGCCATCTCCCATCGCTTCTCGCTTTCTATGTTGACCACATCTTATCTCAATATTGCTTTCCCAAAGAGGCCATTCCTTTCTCTCCTGGTTTTCTTGTTTTGTGCATTTGCCAATAACTCAGGTTACTCTGCTTGTTATTATTTGGTTGACATTTATCTTTTATAATTAATGCGTGGAGCCTAGCATGTCAGGCTCCATTTCTTTGTGGAAATTACTGTCGTCTTCAATCTACAAATGGTAAATCTATCCTGAGGAACAAAGCCTTATCTGCGCTCACGCTCCCAGGGTTGGGAACTCAGATTTGAACTGAGCAAGTCTTGCTGTCAAGGCTGTAATGCTTCATGCTTTCATTTTCTTTCATCATCCAAAATATAGAAATGATGTAATTTTACTGACAGATGAAGATTAACTTTCAAATAGCCTCCAGTTCAGTAAATATTAAATAGCCACTGTGTGCCAGGTATTGGGTAGCTCCCAGAGGCTCAGAATGGTAATGGAAATATTTGAGGGGGATGAGTTTTGGGGACTGTCGGCAGAATGAAGGGACAGGAAGATGGGCTGCTCACAGGTTCCTCAAAACCCATCACGTCGTGGCGGCTTCCCTCCCGCCTGCTGTTTGCCATGCTTCACCTGAGCCAGGAGGTGAAGGGCTGGGTCCAGGCTCATGCGGATTGTTCGTCTGCCTCAGCTTTCCTTGTGAGGTTGTGCCACTGTCTCAGCAGTCACAGAGCAGATGGCACCAAGGCTAGTATAACACAAACAGCTGGTACCTTCAGCGAGCACTTCACATCCCTCTGTACAGGGAGAGGGCCTGTGTTATCTTTTAGAAGTACATAGACAGGGGTGCAGGGAATTAAGTGGCTTGCACAAGGCTGTGATTCCTGACTCATTTTAACACTAAAAATGCCAGTCCCATTTTTAGAGTGCCTCCACAGTGAATGTAATCAGTAGTTTTGGTGATCATTAAGAAAATCCTTCAAATTTTTGCATTGTTTAAAACACTAAGTGATTGTTGCAGCATTACTTTGATACAAGAATATTGAATAAAAGACAGGACGGACTTTAAGAACTTGTTTTAGAAATCATGTCTTTCAAATAGATGCGTGATACAAGCATTTGCTGTTTCCCTTCCTTTTGTGAAAACAAATTCTTATTATGAACAAATAGAAGTTTGCGCTGAGAATGCAAATATAGAATACTCGGGGCCTGGGGTGCACGGAACTCACCCACACAGGTAACTGCTGTAGCAATGTCGGGCACTGGGTTAAGCCTTTACTCCCCGTGCTGTACCTCCGTCACAGCCATCATCTCTTTCTTACCCGTCTCGTTCAAGGTGACACAGCTGGCAAGTGGCAGCGCCCATGCAGCTGGCAGCACCTGCTCTGTTTGCAGACGTTCCATTCATGGCCAGGCTCGGTACACTTGTCATTGTACCGCTCCCAAGTCTGCCAGCAGATTCTCTTTCTGACCCCTTAGAGAGTAGAAAAGTGAGGTCCCGAGGTCTGTGCACAGCTAAGGAAACCTGAGCTCCTCGTTGGTCCTCTTACATTTTCTGATTAAACCTCTTTTGTCTGAGCCTGCTTAGTTTGGTATGATGGAGACTTTTCCAGCAGCACTGCCCAGGCCAGCCTTGATGACAGGGAAAGTTCTTTCCCAATTTGGACATGTTGCTGCTTCTAGGATCTATCGGCAAATACAGAACAGGCCTCAGCCACTGGGAGCCGTGTGCTCAGATGAACTGCTCAGAAATGGGAAGAGTGAAGAGAGATGATCCCACTGTGGTCCAGCCAGAGTTCTAAACTAATAGAGAAATGGGCACCGGTAAAAAATGCAATGACTGAGAGATTTTGAGAACTACTGGGAAAATTGCAGACAAGTTATGTGAGCTGATTTTCAGAATAGCAGTAGCTCATGACTTGTACAAATAGTATTTAAATAAACTAAAGGATTAGATTCAAGTTTAAAAATATATATATATATATATATATATATATATAAATTTTATTTGAAGAGAGAGTTACAGACAGCTCATTCCCCTAATGGCTGCAACAGCCAGAGCTGGGCCCGCCCCAAGCTGGGGACCAGGAGCCTCCTTGGGATTTCCCACAAAGTTGCAGGGTCCCAAAGTCTCGGGCCCTCCTCTGCTGCCTTCCCAGGCCATTAACAAGGAACAGGATCAGAACTGGAGCAGCTGGGACTCGAACTGGTGCCCATAAAGGATGCTGGTGCTGCAGGCAGAGGCTTAGCTTGTTACACACAGATTCAGCTTTTTAAAAGAAAATGCTCAGCAGCCCCGCTTCCCACCCAGCTCCCTGCTTGTGGCCTGGGAAAGCATTGAGGATGGCCCAAAGCCTTGGGACCCTGTGTGGGAGACCTGGAAGAGGTTCCTGGCTTCGGATCAGTATAGCACTGTTGTTGAGGTCACTTGGGGAGTGAATCATTGGACGGAAGATCTTTCTCTCTGACTCTCCTCTCTGTATCTGAGTTTGTGATAAAAATAAATAAATCTTAAAAAAAAAAAAAAAACCTAGAATTCTGATGTAGTCTCCGTGCTGAACAGATGAGCAGCGCCTTAGGAGGCTGTCATAGCCCCAAGGAAGAGCAGGGCGCAGCTGGCCGGGAACAAGTCCTGCCTGCTCGGCTGGGTCTGGGAGGAAGGATGCTGCAGGAAGAGGCAACAGCACGGGAAAAGCCCACAGAGCCATGGGAATCTTCACACTGAAGAACGGTGTTCTCCCTGTGCGTACAAACAGATCCATGTATTAAAAACTGTAGATACCAAGTTCTATAACAGGCGAAATCAGTTCTTTCCTTGGAAAAGAAAATGCCCAGATAAGCCTGTGGGAAGCCCTGTGGAACTTAAAAGCACCATTTAATTGCATTTGGTTTCAAATAATGACAGACTGTCATCTTTTAAAAATTTTTTTT